GAATCTCTCTGCATGCAATCAATCGCCGTCTTCCACAATTATGCTCTAGGCAACGGCGGCTGAAATCGAGAAGCTTCCGCTTGTGGAATCTCCGTCCAATCTCACTGAGGTTTTCGTTTCTCGTATCCTCTTCGCTTTATGCATGCATTCTCCACTCAATGATCCGTTTTTTTTTGCTCAATGTGGTTGTTTCTTACTCCGAGAATCTGGATTTAGGATTCTTAAGGGTCCGTTTTGGGTTGAGTTTTGCAATTGTTTAGGCTTTGAAAACTTTTGGAAACTTTTCACCTTGTTGATTTGATGATTCTGCATTCGCCGTGTCTGTGCTGTATCGAATTAAGAAGCAATTCATGTTTTGTTTGTGTGATTTTGGGTTAATTTCCATGAATCGGGAATTCAATTTCACTTGATTTGGGTTTTTGACTGGTTTCCTTGGACTGAAATTTCCCAATTTTGTAGGTTCCGTTTGTAAAATGCAACCAACCAACGACAAGGTGCGTGAGAAAGTACGCGAGAAGGTAATCGAAGCTTTAAAGAAAACAAGGGAAATGGGTATTCCTGATGAAAAGACAACGCCAGTGCTTCAGCAGCTAATGCGAGAGTCTGGTGAAAATTGGGAATACGTTGAATTGGATAACTATAGTGCACTGATCGACGCTATTTATTCTCATGACGACGATAAGCAATGTGAAGAAGGTTCATCTAATGGCAATAGAGGGAAGAATCCTATGGTCGTTGAGTCTCCTGCTAGTTCGAAGAAAAGTTACAAAACCCGTTCTGCAAACTCAGGTTCCTCCGTTCAGGTACCTCAGAAGCAGCCACAGCCTAGCGACGGTGATCGCAAAACCCGTTCTGCAAACTCAGGTCCCTCCGTTCAGGTACCTCAGAAGCAGCCACAGACTAGCAACGGTGATCGTAAGAGGAAATATAATAACAGTATGTCTGATATAACTAAAGGTTCAGAGAGCGTTCAAATATCTCTTGTCGATGATGTTGGGATCGAGGAAGTGCCAAAGTTTACTTACATCCCTCACAACATTGTATACCAAAAGGCGTATGTGCACGTGTCTCTGGCTCGGATTTCTGATGAAGATTGCTGCGCTAGCTGCAAGGGGGACTGTCTTTCAGCCGACTTTCCATGCGCTTGTGCTCGTGAAACCAGTGGAGAATATGCATATACCAAAGAAGGGTTGCTAAAGGAAGACTTTCTGAAGACTTGTCTTAAAATGCAAAAGGAACCCGATACATTCCATAAATTTTACTGTCAAGACTGCCCTTTAGAGAGAGATATCATTAACGGCACACAAGGAAAATGTGATGGACACTTGATCCGGAAGTTCATCAAGGAATGCTGGAGAAAGTGTGGATGTGATATGCTGTGTGGAAATCGAGTAGTACAGAGAGGGATAAAGTGCAAACTGGAGGTAACATTTCTGGGAGATACTATATGCGGACAATACTATTTTTAGTGTCTCCTATGTAGCTTCAAGTCTAGATGTTGTCTTCCTCATGATCTTCAACTATTTACCTCCTTTTTTCTTCCCCGTTTTTCTTTTTCATTCGATCGACAAGCAAAATATTATGTTTCAGGTTTACTTTACCCAAGAAGGGAAAGGTTGGGGTCTTAGAACACTGCAAGATTTGCCGAAAGGAACCTTTGTCTGTGAATACATTGGTGAAATATTGACCAACACAGAGTTATATGATCGGAATGAAACCTCTAGTAGTGAACGGCATACATATCCTGTAACTCTGGATGCAGACTGGGGTTCTGAAAAGGATCTACAAGATGATGATGCTCTCTGCCTGGATGCCACCATTTGTGGAAATGTCGCCAGATTTATCAATCATAGGTATCAATTATTGTGGAAATGGCGCTCAGGCTTTATGCTATGTTGTTTTCATTCTTACGTTGAATGTTTATGGTTCTTGTGAACTTTATTGTTGTTGCAGATGCGAGGATGCTAACTTGATTGATATTCCGGTGGAAATAGAGACTCCTGACAGACACTATTATCATGTAAGCATATGATTTCTCCACTCGAACCTGATCTTCTTGTCAGCGCTGATTGTGAAAGTAATTTTCAGAGAGCTTAAAGAAAATTTGACTTTGTTTATGTGCAGATTGCCTTTTTTACCCTACGAGACGTCAAGGCCATGGATGAATTGACATGGGTAAGTACCATGAATGAGCTACTTTCGTTTCAACGACTCTGTATTGACTACATAGCCTACAAATACTCACATGGCTAAGAACTTTTGTGTGGAGCAATTAGCAAACACGCTATTGATTTTTCCATGTTAGATATCTGATGTGTTTTTAAACGGCTCCACGGATATGGATTCACCAAACATGTCTTTCTACTCTGCTGCTCCAATAACGGGTGTTTTTTAATCGCAGGATTACATGATAGACTTCAATGATAAAAGTCATCCTGTGAAGGCATTTAGATGTTGCTGCGGAAGCGAATTATGCAGAGACAAAAAAACAAAAGGTCAGTTATCTTTAGACATTTCATTGTTCAAACCTTTGTTACGACTGTCTATTGCTTTCTTGTCTTACTCACACATTCTAAGTTAGAACTTGTTTTGTTTTACATTGACAAAGTACATTGGTTTCATAGAAACTATGCCAAAGAAAGAAAAAAAGATTGAGGAAAAACGAATTATATCTTTTGGCTAATTATGCGTTCCGGTGATATGTCAGGATCTAAAGGCAAGTCTATAGAAAGAAGAAAGATTCTTCCTACTAGAAAACAACCAGGTGAGAAAGAATGTTTTAAAAGATAATATAATCTTCAGACTAGTAGCATCAAATTATTCCTTATCAAATGGTTTATTACTAAGAATCGCGAAATTCTTGTAATGCAGGTCCTAGAGCGGTGGCTTTAAAGCGCAAATGAGAGTGATGGTTTAGAGTAAAAACATTAAGAAAACATGAAGTACGTAAGGACGCTTTGATCCATCTTGAGCTGCTTCGATTCAACTGGCTTTCCTTCATATCTTCCTCGCAACGAGATAACTTTTATGGTTGGCAGATTTAGTACTCTTACAATTCCTTCTTTCGGTAACACTTTTATCTGACTGAACGGATTCTTTTGGTAGGTTGGCAAAGAGTATTTGAACTAAAAAGAAGGTTATGTGTTGCCTAACCAAAGAAACTCGTTATTTGTTTCTCTTTTTTTTATTAGTTCATCGCAAATGTCAAATAAATAAACCAAAGATTGTTATGCCTTTTTTAAAAGGGTGGGGAATGAAAAGGCTTGTAGCTTAAATAGCTCATCATCCCCATAATTCATCTACAAGTAGCTCGAATAAATTTTGTAAAATTTTTTTTCTTAATCAGAATTATGTTTTAAATATTTTTCTGATGAAACTATATGGTGGTTAATTTAATAAGAAAGAAGGTACAGATTGCTTGCTTTTGGTAAATGGATACATAGTTAATGGCTATTACTTTTGAAATTTTCGATATGAAAACTAAGATTTGAAATTTATAAATTTAGTTTTCAGCTTCTTAAGATTATAGGAAGATAAATTAATTTGGAGTAAATAAAAACGTTGGACGTTAAAAAGGAAAAAGAGTTGTATTGCATTATTGGGCCTATTTGTAAAATTTTATCGGCCCATAATATCAATCCAGATCAGTTACATTACTCTTAGCAAAACCCTAGCTTAACCATATATAAACTCTCTCGTCACTGACATTGAAACTCTTCCAAGGAGAGCTGCTACTCAGCAACCATGTCGAAGCGAGGTAAGATTCCTTCTCCGTCTCTTCTATCTTCATCTATGTTTCGTGATACTCTAAGCTCATCTCTTCGTAGATCTTGTGTAGAAGATATTTTGTTCGTCGCCGCTTGCTTTCTTCGGTTTCCATTCTTAGAGAATCGATTCAATTGATTTAAGTGATTGTCGTTTATCGAGCTGAATTTGTGTTGCAAGGACTCCGATTTTTGTTTTCGTATGTTTCTAGATCATGAACTCTTACACCGAGATCTTGATTTTGTAGCTTTAGTAAGCGTTTTCTTGTTAATGATCCATATGTTGTGTTTCTAGTGAACGGGTTTTACATGCGAAAATGATTATGAATATATAAACTCTGACATGAGATCTTAACCATATGTGCTTCTTCTTTGGTTGATGCATGAGTTTAGTAATGGAAATCATTTGATCTATATAACTTATGTTGAATCTTTCATTTGGTTATAGGAAGAGGAGGTACTTCGGGTAACAAGTTCAGGATGTCACTGGGTCTTCCAGTGGCAGCCACTGTGAACTGTGCTGACAACACCGGTGCTAAGAATCTCTACATCATTTCTGTGAAAGGGATCAAGGGTCGTCTTAACCGTTTGCCGTCTGCCTGTGTTGGTGACATGGTTATGGCCACTGTGAAGAAAGGTAAACCCGATCTCCGTAAGAAGGTTCTGCCTGCTGTCATTGTTAGGCAGAGGAAGCCATGGCGCCGAAAGGACGGTGTCTTTATGTATTTCGAGGGTAAGCAATTGCTATTATCCCTCTGTGTTTTTTCATATTTTACATTGTTTGAAGTATCCTTGAAGTCGATCAAAATTTGTGATTTTTGCAGATAATGCCGGTGTCATTGTCAATCCCAAGGGTGAAATGAAAGGTAAGCTTTGATTGTTTTGCAAATCCTCAAGTAGATCATAGTGTTTTTGTTCAATGGTTCTTATTGTTTACTTGTAGCTGATGAATCTCTGTTTCATTCTGTCATTTGTTCTGATGTATTTAGGATCTGCTATCACCGGACCAATCGGAAAGGAGTGTGCTGACCTGTGGCCGAGGATCGCTAGTGCTGCAAACGCGATTGTTTAAGCCAAAACTTGAGATCTGTATTTGGTGTTAAAACGTTTTGCAGTATCTTTTGAGTATGTTTTGTTTTCTTCTTAGACTTGTGTTTTGTCATAATCTTGGTTCTAGTTTCTCTATAACAACTCATTTCTCGTGCCAGTTTATTACATTAGCGTTTTATCCTATCGTTAACTTATTGCTCTGGTTTTGAACTTTAAAAGAAACAAAATCTTCTAGAGATTCAGCGATTAAAAAAATAAGATCCATTTAAAAGTTGCACGTTAATAAAACCGATTGAACACTACTTAATTAGGTCAAACACTTATAAAATGTCTAATTAATTTGTTTTGGTTGACGTAGTAAGCACCGAGCAACATTCGACCAATCAAAATTGAGACAACAATCAGATGGACCCCACCAGCAACATTTTATAACACGGTCCATTAGTTCTCTACGGCAGAGAACATTCACTTACCGTGCACACAACATGAATCTCCTTTGTTGAATATAAATCCAACGGTCAGTAATAAACCAAATACTTGAGAAGACAAAATTGTAAATCCAGATTTCGTCTTCTCATGGTTTTAGTCTTTTAGGAGAGAAAGAGAGATTGAGAAGACAAATACGAAAAAAGTCGCCTTTTTTGTTTTGTTTGGTTTAATCATTCAGTTAAAGCCCTTTTTGGGTCTTTGATTCGGTATTGGATTCTGTGTGTTGCTGCTTAGTGCTAAGTCGAGTAAGATTCTGTCTTTCTTTCATACACTACTACTCACTGTCGGCATTTTCTTTCGTCGTCTTCGATTAGTGTCTTTTTCTGGGTTTCTTCGGTTTGTGTCTCGGTGAGTTATGTAATCTCTTTAAGGGATTTAGTTGCTTATTAGATTGACTTGTGATTGGAGAAGCATTAAACAACACTCATTAGCTTGAGCTCATATTAAAGAGATCAACTTTTGCTGATTATTGTCTCTTTTTGATGTGGAATTGGTTCACTATATAAGATTATGTTCTGTTTTTTGAATTTTTTTAAAGCAAAGTTTTTTTTTTTTTTCATGGAAGGATTAGAAAGTTCAATCATGAGATGTTGACTTGTTATGATCTAAGAATCCGTTTTTAATAAATGGTCAAGTCATGTTTTTGTTCGATTTGGTTCTCTGTAGTATGATAATGTGCTTCATGGTGATTCTCCTCCTTGCACGTCCTTATGGTTTATCAAAAGCCATATTTCTTTTTTTTCTTCTCAATTTTCATTCCCAATTGCATTTGATTCCATATCTTATGTGTGGTCCCTTTCTATTTTGATTTTGATACATTTGTCATCTCCATGATATAGCTTCTCTTGGTTCATGGCTGAAACAAGTTTTGATTTTGGATAAGAATAATAGAATTTCTATTTGTTCGTTTTTATCCCTTCTCTTTTGCGGTATTTGTTGAAGCTTAGGGGAAAAATTTGCAGAAAAAGTGAAGAATATTCCTTAGGAGTGTTTTCGAAAAGAAGAAAAGATAGGATACCAATTATGGGAAGGGAATTTCTTTAACTGTTCAAGTCCTTTAGAGTCATTTTCTGTATATAAAACTTACTGATAGTGAGTCTCATTTCCTTGCTAAGCTAAGCACACACTCACTTCTTTGTTTGGATTCTGATATTTTTGTAGTTTCCTTGTTCTATGACACTTGCTAGCGATTTCGGTTTTCCAACCACTATGTCATCGTCTTTTCGTTTTCTTCCTACAACTCTAGATGAGAGATATCATCATAAGTTTCCTAACTCTTTGTGGGTTTCATCAGGACAGGAAGTGATGAATAACCCAGTACCTTGTCAAGTGTTTCCTCTGGCTTCTGGTGGTAGTTCTTCTGGATTCTGCAATGGTATGTATGTTTCAGCACATGAAAGGAATACTTCCCAGACACAAGCATCAGTTTCTCATGTCTCTGGAGAAGGACAGAGACAGGAATGCTCTGTGGAAACACAACCCTTGACAGTGATTAATCAACCTCAAGAGCAGAAAGACATGAGTTGGTCTTCAGACCAGCTTCAGGGGTTCTTTGACTTTCCTGTTCAGGATCCACAAGCAGAGAGCAGCAGAGCTATGGTCTCATCCGAGGAAGTCCATTCGAAAAACGAATGGCCAGATTGGGCGAATCAGTTGATCTCTGTTGATGATGGTCTAGAACCAAATTGGTCAGAGCTTCTCGGAGATACTAATGTCCTTAATCAAGATTTAAAGGTTCGTTTTTTCTCTGCTAAATATCAATCTCTATCCGTATTCTTATATTAAGATTGACTCTCGTGATCTCTTACAGATAGCAACACCGTCTTCTGATAGAGCGAGGCAAGATGTAGTAGTAGTTAATAATCAGCATCAGGTGAATCTATCAATGGTGGAGCAGTTTAATGCCAAAAACTCACCAGCTTGTCCATCTAAGCAACGTATGCGTTGGACACCAGAACTTCATGAAGCATTTGTCGAAGCTGTCAATCAACTTGGTGGTAGCGAACGTGCGTAAGCCCTTTCGTTTCTCTCTTCTCATGCCTGCAAATTTTTAGCTCAACGACTTATTACTCTTTTGGCTTACAATTGCAAACCATAGGAGCCACACCTAAGGCTGTTTTGAAGCTCATCAATAGCCCGGGGTTGACCATTTATCATGTCAAAAGCCATTTGCAGGTTTGTTAGGGATTGGACCATATGTTTTTTGTTCTTTTAAGTTCTGTTTTCGGTCCTAATCTCATCTTAACCGTCTTTATATTGTTGTCTTGTCCAGAAATACAGAACAGCGAGGTATAAACCGGAGCTTTCTGAAGATACAGGTACTCTTATATATGTGTGCATAGATTTTTCTGTAGCTTTAAACCGCGAGATATCTATAGAATCAAACTCTCTTCTCGATTGTTCACAAAAAAGCCTTTGGTTAATATACTCTGCAAATAGCTTCAATGGCATCTAAAACACATCTTTATACTAAATTTTGTTTTCCGTATTGAACAGAAGAACCTCCAGAGAAGAATTTGAAAACCATTGAAGATATCAAATCTCTTGACTTGAAGACGTAAGGAAATATTTAGTCCTCCTACTATGTAACACCAAGGAAATTGTTTCTTCATATTTACTATCTTTTTTCCTTCTCTTCAGGAGCATTGAAATCACTGAAGCTCTACGATTACAGATGCAAGTTCAGAAACAACTCCACGAGCAACTTGAGGTATGATTCCAACTGCGTAAAAGAAGCCTTATACGAGTCTCCTTCCTTTTTTTTCTTTTGTCTGATTCCTAGTTTTTGGTTTTATCTGGTGATGATGTTCTGATATTGGTCTTAACAACAATGCAGATCCAAAGATCATTGCAGTTACAAATCGAAGAACAAGGCCGGTATCTTCAGATGATGATTGAGAAACAACAGAAGATGCAAGAGAAGAAAAAAGTCTCTTCTTCCTCATCATCAATACCAGAAACCGAACCTAAAGCAACCAAACCAGAACCATCAATAAATCAGAAACTAACCTCAATGGATCAAAGTGAATTTGCTTCTGGGACTTGTAGGAAACGAGTTAGAGAAGATTAGACATTTTCTAACTGATGAAGTTGGAAGTTATGATACTGACCTGGGTTTTTGTTTTTTTCGTATAGAAGTGTTTCTTGTGACCTAAGTTAGGTTTTGTTGGAAACCCAAAGATGTTGCAACTGATGTGATTGTGATTATTAACATATTTAAAAACATCTTCTTTGTACTTGCTTTTGTTATTATTTATGTGAAACTCACACCAGCAAGAACATGAAAAATTGATTATTTTCTCCCAATTGATCAATTTTCAAATGTCATTTTGCATTGACCACATTTAGTTAAGGAAACCAAAATTTATTTTGAAGTAACAGATTTAACGAGAAATTAAATATATTCAGATGTGGGGGTGCTGACGTGGAAATATCTTGTCGAGCTGGACTGTTGTCGGCTGAAGAATCAGCTATTATATCTGACGTGGCAAACACCTTGCTTTATGACGTCATAATAATCTCTCGAAATGCGTCTTTTTTTCTCCTTCGTCTATCTTCTTTCCCAATTTTTCTGCAATTCTGGAGAAGCTAAAGGTCTCAATCTCAAATCTCAATCCCACTCAAAAGCAAAGCTTCTCACTTTATCAACTATCACTG